AAAAAAAAACAGACTCTCAGGACCAAACACACCATATTCAGAATGTCTCGGAACTTCTATGACGTCTATATACACCACAACACTTCTTCTACCCGACGATTCTACAGAATCTGTGCAGAATCGTGCAAGAAGCGTGCAAATCGGCTCATGCAATACAGTTACAGTTACACAAAGAAATAAAGAAAAAAGAAAAAAAAACGAAAGCAGAAAGCAATGACAATGCTATAGACACTGGCCGGGGGAAGCCAACCACATGCACCGAAAACATACACCTTGTCAACATAGCCCCCCCAAACCCAGATTAATGCACAGACCGGTCGGGGCATTGGAACAAAGAAAACATGGGCCACGCCCTCGTCTTTTTGAGAGCAACCACATCCCAACCCGGTTTTGACCCCTCTTCGACTTCACCCACCCTTCCAACTACCCTCTGACCCAACGGGCGACCGGTCTCTGCACAGCGACCTTTCGTTCCTACGTCAAGACGACGAGGTATAGCGCAGCCTACGGGCTGCGAACTAGCCCAGATCGAGTGCTTGTAAGCTGAGGGCTCTATCTGGCCGCTCATTTTGCGATTTTGAGGGCCTAGTGTGAGTATGCCGTAAGCAAAATATTAAAATAATGAAATAAGTTCAAATAACTCTGAATTACTGGGGAGGATGAGGGCTCAAGGCCTTGGCCCTTGTTACAGGGGCGGCTGGCAAATTAGGGCAAATTGTATTGGCAAGTCACAAAGTTTTGCAGTATATTTTCCCAGATCATCGAACTCCCTCGAACTCATGACCTCTGTTTGTCGACAACCTACAAAGGTGTACCATTCAGCCACTAAGGCGGGATGACGCGCGTTTTTGAACGCAACGCAGGTTACTTTTCGAATATTTCAACGTTCAGCAGCTCACTATGGGAAAGGGGATGTGTGCTCCTGTTCGCGCTACCCGTTTAGTTTTTTTTTTTTCTTTTTTTTTTTTTCTTTTTTTTTTTTTTTTTTTTTTTCTGCGCTTCCAGTTTAGGTTACCCGATTTGAAACAGGTATGTTGCGACGGGGACGGTGATCCATGAAGTCCAGTCCCGACCTGAGTCCTGTCCCGACCTGCATGCAAACAACGAATGGATCAGGGCATACTCACACGACCGGTAGCACTTGTTTCCTTATTTCTGGATGGAATTGCGGCCAGATGCATACGAGTACGGCCGTAAATGCGGTCAGGTGCATTTACAATAGTGGTAGTAGTGTGATTACGCCGTAAGAACCGGTCAGGACGTAAGAGCGACAAGGGAGCAGGAGATGCATCATTGTGCACTCACCAGCAGGGCAGAGGGAGGAGGAGGAGGAGGAGGTGGAGGAGGAGAAGGAGCAAACGAAGAAACGGGCTGAAGTGGAAGAGGAGGAAGAACAGCAACAGAGGAAGGCGGAGGGGGAGGAGGGGGAGAAGTAGGTTGAGGACGAGAACGAGGGGAGAGGAGGGGGAGAAGGAGGGAGAGGGCGAGAAGCAGGGGGAGGAGGAGGGAGAAGGAAACAAGGAGGGAGAGGGGAAGAAGGAAGAGGAAGGTCACGGAAGAAGAAAGTGGAGGACGGTAAGGGGCAACAGCAGCAGCTTGGGGACATTTAGTGAGGAGGAGTAGGAGGAGGGAGGAGGAGGAGGTATGATTTGTGGGGCTGAGTGAATGGTTGCAAGGTGGGAGTCACAGCTGCTGCTGCCACGTGGCAGATCGACACGTGGCAGGCGGAAGAGCTGAGGTGGAGATGATTCGTCAGCAAGCGGAAGGGCCAAAGCCCTATGGCTACGACCAGGGCGGGGTGACCGGGAGCGGTCCTGGCGCCCCTGCCTCCCCATCAGATGGCACGTCAGCAGCGGCACAGCTGGCAGTGACCTGGTCGGTCGATCTGGATCGCGGTCTGAGATCTTCGAAGCCTGGATCTCAAGCTGAAGCTATTGCCCGAGTAGGTCCTCGACTCCTAAAGTGGAATGCTGCACTGTCTGGGACCACCATCGGTGAAGGCAAAGCCTCTGTGCCAGCTCCGGATATAAGTCTGGTAAATGCCGTTATCCTTAGGTTAGCTGATGCCTTTCGCACTGGGTCTAATCATACAAGGCTGAATATTCTTCGAGTGTTCATGATGCAATACAGAGAAGGATTGAAGGAAGAGGAACGACTACGCAGTCGTCAATCTCGAGGGTCGAAGCCGGGACCTGTGGGACAAGCAGGTCGGGATCGGGTTCGGCGCAGGTATGGCGGAATTCTCGCGCCGGGTCGGCTGCTAAATCCCGCGCAAGTGCTGAAAAGAGTGAAGGCAGCCATCTCCAGCAGCGATCCTGTAGCGCGAGCGCTCACGCTCAGGATGATAGGCTGCTTGACACCTGTAGGTGCAGAGAATCTGGACATTCATCGCGTCGTGCTGGGGTCTCTTCAATCGCCTGATCCTCTAGAGGTTGGTAGTGGGCTTATCCGGTTTTTTTTTTTTTTTTTTTTTCCCCGTTCTCCCCGTACTTTGCTTTCTTCTCTTATTTTATTATGTTAGTTTATATCGCTTCTATTCTTACCTTACAATATTCACTCTTTTTATTTATCTCTATTATCAATATATATAAATTATTATTTTCGAGCATGAGTACGCGCTTGTATATTCTTGGTTGCAATATTCTGCCCTCGCTGCCCTCGCTTCCCTCGTCCTTCTCCTCCTCATCCCCTTTATCCCCCTTTTCCTACCCCCTCTTTCTTTTCTCCCGCCTTCTTCGTCTTCCTTTTCTCCCCCTTTTCCTCCTCTTCCTTCCCTTCTCTTCCTCCTCCTCTACCTCCTCCTCCTGGTCATCCTCCTTCACTGTCGTCCTCCCCTTAATTAGGTGATCGGGAAGTAGCCATCCTCTCTTCTTCGTTCTTATCCTCGTCAGCAGCTCGTCCGCCCCCTTGCCACTCTGTGTACGACTGCCATCCCTCTATTGTCCGTCTCTTCCATCGTCGCGATAGTGTGATCCCTCCTCCTCTTCTTTAGCTTCTTCCTCTCCTTCCTGCCAGCCTTTTCCTCCTCCTCTCTTTGTGGATACTTCATCATCATTCTCTCTCTCTCTCTCTCTCTCTCTCTCTCTCTCTCTCTCTCTCTCTCTTTCTTTCTCTCCATTTCCCCTCCCCTTTTTTCCCTTCACTTTCTTCTTCACCGTCTCTCTCTCTCTCCCTCTCCTCCTCCTCAGTTTCTACTTCTGCATTAATCGGTTCTGTCTCTCGCTCTCTCCTCCCCCTCCTCCTCCATTTACACTTCAACATCTATCTATTCTCTCTCTCTCTCTCTCTTTCTCTCTCTCTTCCGTCTCTTTCCTCCTCCTCCTCTTCCTCCTCCTCCTCTGTTTCCACTTCACCGCCTATTGATTCTCTCTCTCTCTTTCTCTTTCTCTTTCTCTTTCTCTTCCGTCTCTCTTCCTCCCCCTCCTTCGTGCCTACCTCAGCATCTATCGACTCTCTCTCTCTCTCTTCCGTCTCTCTCCTCCTCCTCCTCCTCTGTTTCCACTTCACCACCTATTGATTCTCTCTCTCTCTCTCCCCCTCTATCTTTCTCTTTCTCTTCGGTCTCTCTCCCTCCCACTCCTTCGTGCCTACCTCAGCATCTATCGACTCTCTCTCTCTCTCTCAATCTCTTTCTCTCTTCCTCTTTCTCCCTCTTTCGCTCTTCCTTCCCATCTTTCTCGGTCTTTGCCTGAATGTACGTGTGCGTTTTTTCTTTGCAGGTTCGTGCAGCTATATTCACAGTCTGTCGGTTTTGCGAGTTCTCGCCGGCCTTTGCCCGGTCGGCCTTCGCGCCTGTCGCGGACCTGCTCGAGTCGATGACGACGGCGGCGGACATACGCACGAGGGCTGTGGGCATTCTAGGAAGGATGGGGCTGTCACCGAACATCGCGCTTATGGCTCATCAGGTGAGAGACAGAAAGGGGTCATTCTTATTCTGTTGATGTCAACAGTAGTAGTAAATATATTTACAGACTCTCGCATTCATAAAACGAATAATTTGATTTGAACGAGTATATCTACTGCAGAGATGAATAACGTAAGAGTAGGAGAATAAATACAGATGATAATGTTTTTTTATATTATAGGGTTCAGCCTCCTCCTGATGAGTAGGTAGGTGAAACTCCGTCGACGAAACAGTTTGTCACAGCCCCCCGTTTGTTGTCCTCTTCTCCTTCTCTGCCTACGGTTTCCCGGGCAGCTCTGTTTGACGATTTATATATACACACGGGGGTGGGGGCAGCCGCTGCTCAACCTACATCCATTTGGCATCCTTGTACGCAAGAGGTTTTGAACAGGGGGAGTCTTGTAAGGAAGAAGATAAAAAATGAATTTATTTCTTCTTTTTTTCGCATTTGCGCTCTGATAAATTTGTGACGATATATACGTAGTTGTCCTATCTGCCGAGGGGGTGACAGATGAAGTGTAGAAGAAACAGATAAAAAAAGAATCCGAGTAAAAAGATAAAAAAAGAAACCGAGGAAAGAAAAACACAAAAAAAGAAACCTGAGAAAAAAGAAAAAAGAAAAAAGAAAAATATGTTCTGTGGGATGGTAATTGGATTATCTGTGGGATGTGTACTTGCTTCGTCTGTTTAATAGGCTTTCTTCTTCTGTGAGGTTTGGTTTCCTCCGCCTTTTCTTTACCTCTTTGCCTTTTGGCTGCGTGCAAGTGGGTCTT